GTGGCTAATCGGTGTCTCCCAACCCCAGGCTCTCCACACCGACCCAGGCCCACGCTCTGCAGTCCGTCCTGGGGTGGGAAGCTGGAGGACCCCAGAATCTATGGGGGTGGACTCAGAGCTGGCCGAAGTTGAGGTGAGACTGTATGCGCACCCCAGGGCCCACGACCAGAGCCCTTGTGCAGGTACCTACCGGGCACGGGGCACTGACACTCACTCACTGCCTGAGGCCGGGCAGGCCCCATGTGCACTGGCAACGGCCATGGGCCTGGCTGTCCTGGGCACCGTCTCCCTCAAGGTAAGGATGCCACATGCAGTGCTAGTCCCCAGGCACCATGGACACCCATCTCACTGGGGGAGTCCTAGCCCCCCAGCCCCCCTGAGCAAGCACTCAAGTGGTTCCCTGCTGTGCTAGTTAAGGTTGTGTGTCCCCTTGGCTGGGCCATGGTCTGAGTCCTTGACGGCCAGATACAGTTGTTCCCCTTGATGAGAATGTAATCACCGTCATGGTGGAATCTGCTGCGAGCAGCTAACTAGTTGCCTTCGGGGTGTGGCTGCCCCAGTGCACATGGGGGAGCTCGGAGAAAGGGCGCTGGCTTTTTGGCACAGCTGCATCCTGCGTTGGGCCAAGTCTCCATCTGCAGTTCCTGGGCTGGAACTGGTGGCCGGCTGTGGTGCCTGTTGACCTGGGGACAGTTCTGGGACCTGAACGTGCTATGCTGCCTGCTGATCTTGGGGTCGTGCCATTCGAGCTGCCCATCGTGGGTTCGCCAGCCTCAACAGCCAGTCACTGTGTGACTCAGAAGAATCCTCCAGCTGCAGGGGCCTAGAACAGGAGGCAGAGCTGAGGCCCAAGGTCAGAGGGCCTTCACCCGGCCCCTGGAGCTGGACTCTAGCCCCTGAACAGTAAGATAGTAAACTCCTGTTTGTGAAAGCCATCCTCTCGGGGGAGTTCAGCTACAGCTGCGTGAGAGCCAAGACCCCCGTCAAACCCTCAGGGCACAGTTGGCAAACTGAGTGCAGCAGAGAGGCAGGGATGGGCCAGGACACAGAGGCGGGCAGAGTCCAGAGCGTGAAGAACTTTCCACACTCTTAGGCCAGGGCTCAGCTCCTCGCATGGGGATCACGTCGGGAGTGAGAGGCCCTGGGATGTGGGAGACCCCCTGGCCCACACGCTGACTTCACAGGTGGGGACATGAGGGGTAGGTCAGAGAAGGACAAGACCCATGAGACCTCATGGAAAGAAGAGAGGTGGTGGAGACAGCTCGGACAGAGGACAGGGCTCTGGGGTCTTCCAGAACAGGCCACGGCCCACCACGGGGGAGAGGAGAGATGCCTCATCTTTCTCGCAGGGAGTAGCTGTGGGTTTGAACCCTCGACCTTTCAGTGAGCAGCTGAGCGCTTATCCACTGTGCCACCAGTGCCCTTTTGTCTGATACGTGATGTGTATTGCAGTATGTATACGTATTGTCTCCCTTACGCCTGGTGGCCCGGCCAGGAAGTGGATGCCAGAATGATCCTCATGGTGTGGCTGGGGACTGGGGAGGCTCTGGGAAGCACAAAGACGTGTCCAAGGCTGGAAACTGGTTAAGAGGGATGGGCTGCATAGGAGGCCAGCTCGGACTGCTCTGAGTTGGGGCCCTGGCTGCACTTCGACCTTCCCCAGGGTCTGTAGGGGGCTGTGTAGGGGTCCCCATGCACAGTTATAGAGATGATATGGGGGGAAGTGAGCATTCAGCAGCCCAGTGTGACCGTTGGGGGGTTCTGATAGGAGGTCGGGTCAACGTCAGTTGACCCAGGATATGACCTCACTTCCTTGGCAATGGAGTACGTAGAACTTGGAACCCTGGTCACCAGGTCCCCACATTCTAGAGACAGGCCCTAGGCCAGCTCACTTGAGTGGAGACACTCAAACTGTGAGAATGTTGTCTAGTTGTTTTTCGC